CAGGTAAAATCATACAAAATAGCCTAGTCGGTCTGGTCCATTGGAAGGAGCTGATCTAAATCCCCGAACCAGAGGATTCAGATTAGATCCTTCCAGTGGCCCTAACTGATTAGGCTGTGTAGTGTGGTTTTACCTGGTGACGTAAGCAGAGCCAGCTTCCAAGACTTCGTGTGCTTTGTATTTTTTAAGTTCCTAAATTTAAGAGGCCAAGGAAAATGTTTCCTAATAATATGTATACACCAATTAAATGACTTTTCCGTCAAAAACACTTACACAAATAAAGAGTGCTACATTTATCAAACTAAATTAATATACAAGTAGCAGAAGTAAATAATTTAAATATATATATATATATAGCTACATATATAATTGATGTAAACTGTAGCAAGAAAATTAAACTTTTTAGGTCATGCATGGAACTTGTTGCAATATAGCAACACAGACTAAATTATTTTTACTTATCATTAAATTCAGGTTCTGAAAATAAAACGATAAAACATCTCACGCATACTCTGCTATTTACCACTCCGATGTCTAATGACAGAAAGCCCTGAATTTTAAAGAGAACTTCTACATTGCCTGACGTCATGCCCCTTGCCTGGTTCTAGAGATGATAATGGGCTGTTATGCTAATGGTAGAAACGGAAGCCCCTGCCGTACGCATGAGGTAACTTACACATCAAATGCAAGGCCCCTCGCACCGAAACACAGCGACGAGACCAGGCAATTTGTTCACATTTACACTTGCTTCTTTTTATTTCAGCGTTTGAAAATTTTAATCTTGCTTTCCCACTTTACCTGCGCTCTCGATAAAGTAATTTATTTACCGGTGCAGTAGCGTGGTTCGTCTGATTTATCTCTGCAATCGTCGACTCCGTCACAGTATCGGTCCAGCCTGATGCAGCGGCCGTTTCTGCACGGGAACTCTGAAATGCGACATGCAGGGACGGCTATCGGAGTCAGGAGCACTGCTATCAGCACTAGGGACAGATTCCTCCTCAGCTGCCGCTCCATGGCCTCTTGCACCTGCAAAACAGGACGAAACGCGTGTCAGGCAGACTCAAGTAGCGAGAGGTGTGTGGTATCTAGTTGATATTAGGCATGTAAAATGATATACAATTTTATATTTTGATAGAAGTTTTAAAGCTACTCTGTATTCACCTTTTATTATAATGATTTCTCATATTTTATGTGTCTCTCTCACAACCGGTTCCATGGTACGCGCGAGATATCTCGTTTAGAATTATTAGTTCTTCTAATCTCGATTCATTTGGTGTTTGAATAGTTGTATAGTCTATTTAGTGTGTTGTATTGTTGTTTATTATGTCAAAAATATTTCAAATGATAATTTGCCCCTAGTTTCTTGTTGTCTGGAATCCCTTGTGGCTTGGTTAGTCCTTCGCCATCTGTGTAATAGTAGGGATGTTACAACGTCACAGTGCTGAATGTAAAACTATTTCTGCCGAGTTCTGTAATCCATTCAGGAGGTTATTACACGGTTTTAACTTTTAATCTGTCCACAGTGGCTGCCGTCATAGTACGTGCGAGTGTGATGTTTTCAACACGAATTACAGAGACGTGAAAAATAAATAGAAATAGTTTTACCTCGTGTTATAATTTTAAAGCGTCTAGCTTATATATTTATGTTTGTTTAGCCTTTATGCTACCCATTCAAATGAAGCTGTTAACTGGAACAGTTGTGCATTTGTTTTTATATTTCTTTAAGTACAAGATTGACGTCAGTGTCGCAGATAGGCTTTTAAAAAAGTAAGTTTCATTTTGTCAATATTGATAAAGAATAGGAAAATAGTATTATTTCGAATAAGTGGCGGTCTGTCACGTTCATATACATTAAAATATCGCACCATTTAGTAAATACATCTGGATGGATGAAAAGTTTATTTAACTACCTCGTATCAACTAGGAGGATGGGATGGGCTGGACTCTTATCACTCATGGGAGACTGGTTCCTCATGCCTACCCAATTTTATTAGAAAAGTCGTAAGCGATAACACCACTTGGGAGACCTAGGCTGATGGATGTTATTAAAATCTATCTTATGAAATAGGGTGAACTGAAATAATTTGCATCAGGATAATAGATTTCAGTGGTAGGCTCTTGTGCACTGTTTGAATGGGGAACAATATAAAACACGCGGAAGTTCTTGACTAGTTGAGCGACTGTTAGCTTCTAAAGTTGATACTACTCCTTGAATTTATTTAGAGAATTTATAAATTATTAATCACAGAAATCTAAATATGCTACAGATACGTTGAGATTTAATAATTTAATTTACGTTGAGATGTGTCTTATCACCTTCAGAACACCTGTGAAAATGTGGAATTCTGTCGGAGAGTCAATTATTATCCCTTTAATAATGCAGTTATTTTGTATTTTCTGGCATCTATAGTATGTGTTCAGTCGGTGCGAATAATTGCTAGCGGCATAACAATTACTTTACTGCAGTTTTTTTCGTAAAAATCTTCGACTCACAGACTTCGAAACACACAGCTGACCCGCAAATAAAAATAAACATTTATCCAGCTGTACCATAAGGGATATAAGGTAAAATTGAAAATTAAATATTTTTAACTGTGTAATAATTATGTTAAGGGAAACTTTCTGTCTCCCAGAGATCCAGCGGGGGCTGATACTTAAAGCCACTGAGATCATTACTGCACTCATTTGGCGGACAGCTATTTACCCCGAGCTCATGCGGCAACATTTCTGGCACGACTGTGCGACGTGAAGTCTAATTAAGCAGTTTCAGGCGTTTTGCCACTGCATCTGACGGCTGACGTGTTTTAATGAATTGTATATGTTACCGGCTTTTGCTTATCAAGTGTTGGAAGTAACATAATGTGACGAATGTGCGTACGTAGGCCTGTATGGAAACATGCGTGTCTTAGGAAAATGTATTGCTTGGTATAATTGTTTTGCAGGATGACAGTGAAGTGCTTATTGGTACTTAAACGAAAAGTGTGTAACATCGCGTCTCTTTAAAGAATTTTTGACGGTTGCTGAAAGAGGAATAGAAATGTAACGTAATTTAAACTGAAGCGCAAACTAAATCACGTTGTATCAAAGGGAGTTGGCGTGGCAATGTAAAAATACATGAAAAGGAGCTTCATAATTTATACGTCTTACCTGGTATGTTAGTGTGCTCAAATTTTTAACGCGAACATGGATGGACCATGTAACATGTGGAGGAAATGAAAAACTGACAAAAAGTTTTAATCAGTAGATCTGAAGAGAAGAATTTATTTGTGAATTGGCAATGATGAAGGCATTCTTAGGGTGTGAAGTGGAATGGACCTTTTTGAAGATGGCTATGAAAATTTTGATTTTATAACGGCATGAAAATTTTCATATCTGAATAAGTAAGAACTACTCTAAACTCTGTGGTTAAAATCGTATAACATTTTACCGTTCGCCGAATAAAAGTGTGCACATGTTTCAATCAAACTAGAGGTTTACGCACAGAGAAAACATCGTGGTACTTTCACAAGTATCTGAACTTTGAGCTTTGCGAATGGCGCAAATGATGTCGGAGTTGTGAGGGGATTACCCAAAGTAGCGGCGAGGCTTTCTACAGATTGCCCACCAAGTTACATCACTTAAAAGAATTGAAATGCCTGCTTAATTTTTGTTGCCCGATGTTAACCAAAATTTCAATACGTTGGCAAATGTTATTAACACTAAGTAGGATTTAAGGTCCTCACGGCGGTGAGCACGAAGTTTGCTGTCTGGTAGAAATTAACCGACGTTGCAAAGGTGCCTACTGCCTCCGTCATGAAGGCCCGCCACCGTGAGAACACGAAATCTCGGCCTGACCACCATTATCCGACGTTTTTATTCTCCTAGTGTAGACGTAGAACTCCTTTGAATCTGTGATTACTTGTGTGCTGCATACAGTCCCTTTGCGCATAATAAATTTTGATGTAAGAGGCCAAGATATGTCCTCATGTTTCTCTAATGTATGGATAAGTTTTAATTAGGTTCAACTGCTGTGTTAGTTAATTTGTTTATTAATACACGAGTTTGAATACTCTGGTGGTGTAAAGACGTGGCACATGGAACAACGCTTTGTGTACTCTTGGGATATTCCTTGACTAAAACGTTTATAACCACCACCTCCGTATGTTATGCAGAAGAAACGTAATGTTTTAAGAGTGCATACTGTACCACTGTCAATATCAATTTTTCAACATCGCTTATTCATAATTGAATCTCCCGGGTTGCAATCTCAATTTATTTTGTTGTATTTTAAGCGGTAACTAAAATTACCACCTGATTTAATTATGAGTAACTCTGCAATTTTCCACACCGTGTTTTATGGGCTTGTTACGAGTCTTAGTTTAAATCACTATTATTTCCTTAAACAACATCAACCAGTTGATATTTGTAGTTCGGAAAAGTAATGCTTTCTCTGCGGTACCGACTGAACTGACGTCTTACCTTCACTAAACATACTTCTGCCAGAAGGACGAGCGGGTAGTGCCTGGGGATCCTTGTAATCTCAGAAAAAAATGTTTCCCTCCCCTCGTTAAAACATTAGTGCCTATCGCTACTCACTATCTTTGCCGGCTCCAGAAAGTAAAAGAAATGTATTGGTCTACACATAAAAGGGCCATTACTATTTATTTACGTATTATCTCAGTTGACATTTCAAAATCACCGTTCCATTCAACGCTATATTGGCTGTTATATGCAGTTGAGGAAACGTCATCGAATAAATAAATAAAGTTAAAAAGAGAAGACACGAGGGATTAAATAAACAAACTTCAATTTCCGTATAATAATTTTGGTTTCCAGTCGCCTGTGCCCCGAGACATTACATTTTTGACGTAAATACGTCTATAAAGGAGGGGAATTCGGCAAAAAAGGGGTACGAAAAAGGGAAACGAAAAAGTGCAACCTGGTTACCTAGGAAACGTTACATTACATTACTCGGCATTGTTTTTACCTAGGAAACGTCATCTGTTTACTCGGCATTATTGTTACCTATAAAACATTTCATTACATTACCTTACTTTACATTACATTCAGCTACCACAGAGCCATCTTAAGCGTAAATAATTCAAGTTAAATAAGCAAAGTCTTAATCAAACTTATCTCAATTGTAAAGCATGTATGAAGGAAATATTTAGAATAAAGCCAATATATAAACTTCCTTTCCGTATAGACGTATTTACGTCAAATTCTCCGGAACCGTGGTTCCACTGACAATTTTTTCTTTTATTTTACTACGAATATCAATTGACGTAGCAAATCACAGCGCACATGATACGGAGGTGTTCTAATTGTTGCACATGGTTTACGTTTGTTTCACTTGCTTGTACAGTGACTTACGCTGAACTCAGCAGCACATGCATAAGAAACACGCTTTCACTCTATGTTTCACGATTTGATCCTTGACCTTTGACCTGGTGTAGGTGTACACACAGACAAGCCCTGCGCACGAAACTGAAAGTTATCGGGATGCTTCTAGACAGATGCAGAGGTCTGGATGTGATTCAATGCGATTGATTGCAATTTCCCTTCTAGCGGTCGGCACTGCAGAGATTTGATGTCAGTGTCCAACTAGTCGAAGTATCTAATCTAACTCTTTTGCGAGATGATGTTTTTACGACCGTGAGTATAATGACGTTTGGGTTTTGGCTACGTATAGACTCGACTGTAGATGTCAACATTCCTGAGAAACATGTTGTGTCCATCTTCAGAGTAGAATATACTCGACTCGCCAATGCTAACGCAAACTTCCTGATACCCATGGGTTCGCGGAACACTAGTCGAGAAACACTGCTTTAGATCACTGTATTTCTGAAGACTTCTGTCTTCTAAGATGTTTTGCTATGTCTGGTTGATATTGATCGACGTTTCAGAGGAGCTTACAGCCTCCATCATCCCATGAAAAGTAGGTCAGCATCTACCATATTACATGACTCGACGTCCCAAAAGGCTTCCATCTTCCTACCTTCTCTGTGAAATCTCACTACGTATCAGTTTCCAGTTGTGAGCGTTTC